AATATGTATAAACATTTGCTTTGAATCTGATAGATGTACGAATAGTTTCTGAGAAAACTAATCCATATCCATTTTACATATATGTTTGGAGTGGAATGCGGCATCTTCACTCTCAAATTAATTAGACTGGAGAGAATGAATGAATTTAAATGAGTCGGAATTGAGATCTCATATGAATGAATCGATTTACCGCTTTAGGGGATAAGATCAATGGATTAAGCAGCGAATATACGAGTCATTCGAATGTGTTTCCATTCGAAGGAGGCCCTCCTCCGTTTCGGGCTAAGTTCCCGCTCTAAAATCAAATATTTTCCTTGCCAATTTGTTTACTGGGTGAAATGCGAAGGAAAGCTTATTGCAAGCTCCATCCCATTGCCTGCAGAAGAGCTTTACTGCAAACCGTCTGGCGATGCAAAAGAGAGCCAAGAGACGGGAATGCACCGCCACTCTACTCTCAGAGCATTTTGATGCACAACTGCGCTGAAATTTGGCAGCATGAAATGAGGAAGAGCTTGGGGCAAAGCTTGGGCGCGCATCAGACTTAACTAAAGTTGGAATTTATTAACCTTTCGAATTTGTTGCCAATGAGTGGCTTTCATACATCATATTGGTCCTGAAACATTGGTGGTTCGCCATCGCCGCCACGGCCAGCGGAAAAGAGTCCTGTGAAACGGCTGTGGCCATGGGCCTGGCCTGAATATTGCTCACGATCAGCATCCTCCTTGCACTTGCGTTTGGCTGTTTGAGTGGCAAAAAGGAAAAGGAAATCAGAAAAAGATTCAGAATTATTTGTTGCATATTTTTTGGGGATGAACTTACTACCCCGTAGCGTGTAACGAGGCACAAAAGTGGCCAGTGCATTCATCATGAGCAGCAGGAATACGAGTACGACTATAAGAAATTCGTACATGTATGTAGTTGCCGGTAAATACATATTTTAAAATTAGTTTCAAACTATAGAGTGGATTGTTGAACCCCAAATTGAGTATCGGATCAATGCTATTGGGATTATACATTAAACATAAAGATAAAACAAATTCTAGAGCAATTATTGTGGTAGGCAGTGGTTACTTTTGAAGCGAACAATTAAAGCTTCAGAATGATACGCCATTCGTGGCTTCTTCAGTTCAAAGAATTTTCTATCCAAGAAACGATCTAGACTCTAGAGTTTACAATTTCATAGATCGATTGACTTTTGCGCGATCTTTAGCAAACCTTTAGTATCAGTAAGAAATCCCGCGAGAATGTGCCAAAAAGATAATCAACAATGTAGAATATCGATCAGTTATTTTTCTATCGAATTTCTTATATAGTTTTTGGTTATCTATACAAAAATGATACTATAAATAATTACTGATTTAATTACAGATTTTTAACATTATTTCTAGTCGATAATTAAAATCGATTATTTCCATAGATTATTTGAAATTATTTTGAACTGATTCATTTATCGATTCAAATTTTTCCAATGCTTCGGATCGATTTATTGATATGTTTCAATCTTGAAACTTGTATAATTTTATATATGTAGTTCCAAAAGATTTTTGCCAAGATGTTTCCCTATTACAATGTCTCGTAGAGGATAATTTATATATATATGATATATATGTAGATGCAACAAGTGTCCACACTGCCAGAGAGAGAGAGAGAGAGAGAGAGAGCGAGCGAGAGAGTGCTAGAGAACGAGACAGAGGGAGATAGATACAGACAGAGAGCAAGAGAGCGAGCTTTTGCAGCCTCTGCGCATGCTCTCCTATCGTGTAGCTTTGAAGCTTCGTTCAAAAGCTGCTGGCGCCTGCAGCTTTTTCCCTCACAGCATCAGCTGTACTTTTAAGGCGAATATGGGGGGACATATGGTTTTTGTTTTGTCCTGGCTGCTGGCTGCTGCCTGCTGCCTCCCTCGTCCTTCGTCCTGCCCACCTTGGTCCTTTCGTTTGCTCGTTTTTCTCAATGAATGCTCTTGTGCCCAGGAGGATGCCCCTGCCTGCCGCAAGTGTACGAGTGTGTGTGTGTGTGTGCGGGGGCGTCTCTTGGATCGTGTTTCGTTCGTGTTCCATCAAGTGCGTCTTGCCACTGCCGCTGCTGCTTGCCACACACTCTGCCACGGCCACAGTCAGTCGCTGGCAACATTTTGGCGCGTGTTGACATGCGAAGAGTTTCTGTTGGTGAAATACCGCGCGACGCTAACGGGCGACGACGACGCTAACGCTTTTTTGACCGTTACAAACGCTTTAAGTTCTCGTGCGCTCGCTTCCTGCATCTTCTTTGCCGTTTCCTTCAAAATCAAATCCGTCAAATCTTAGAGCCTAGAAAGCAACACGCAAAAAGCTGCAGCAAATCATCATCTAGTTCTTGTTTCGTTTTCGTTTTTGTTTTTGTTTTTTCGAGTGTGTTTTTGCGTGCATCAAACCAAGAAAAAGTAATTAAAATAAAACAAAATTCATTTAAAATTTTCTACATTTTGAAACTTTTTATGGCAAAGTCTCAGATTATCCAAAGCTAAATCTCTGCGGCGGGGGGACATCAAACGAAAGGTAGTCGCGCAATTCGACCAACCGAGGGGCGCTGCTGCACGTCAGAAGCTTGATGTGTGTTTGTGTGCGTGTGTGCCGGCATTTGGCGCGTAAATAAATCTTCTTATCAGCTCAGCTGTTAAAAAAAGTTCCAAAAAACTTCCACTCCCCCCTTCAAATACACAACATGGGTTCCATCAAAAATAAATGATAGCATAATGTGCTAGATGGTACAGTGGAAGTTCGACAGCGCGAACGACATGCGACGGCATTTAGCCCCAGGAAAATCTTTCGTATTGGGAATCCTTTATGGCATAACTTCGCCTGGGCTCTCTCCGCCAAACGAAAGCTTATGCTCAGGCAAAAGTGCAATGCAATCAGCGGATGGGCGCTGCTGCATAACGCGCGACGTTCAATTGGAAGCATTTTCTGTTCTAGAAATAAATATTCGGTCTTATTGCGTTTTGGGAGTTTGCTTCATCCCGGAATCTGGACACTTTTGTAAACGTTTTGGGTTCATTCTGCAACCGCTTGATCCTTGGAATTTCTCGCTTTCCTTCGCTGTGCCTGTCCCCTCATAATCAATATTCTGTCGTTTGTTTTATTTGGTACAAGTTGGGATGGATTCCACGCGCTCCCTGTGAACCTTTGGCTGTCCGCTCAAGGCAGCTTTCACTGTACATGGGCTTGGGTAAGAACTGAGGCAGTCTGTGTGCGTCTGTGTCTGTCTGCTGTGTCTATGTTAGCCATTGTTTACATTGTCAGTGGCAGAGTGGCAACAATGGAGAAAAGCGACAAACGAACTGTGAACAGAAATGAACGCACAAGAAATGAGAACACAAGAAAGAGCATGAAACATGAGGAGCGAGAGCCGAGACGAACGTGGAGGGGATACGGGTAACCGTGTAATGGCAACCCTTTTATTATCATTATCCTGATTATTGAGAGCCTGGCTTTTGGGCAGAAAGGAGAAAGGACTGTACGAATGGATTATTAATTTAATATTTTGCCACACATCAAGCGAGTCCTCGTGTGTGGGGGTGTCCTTCCCCTTCCACTATTTGTCACATCCAATTGAAGGACACTGAAATGCGTGTGTGTGTGTGTGTGCGCGTGACAGTCCTTGTGTGTAGGGATTTTAAATTAATATTTTCCCTGCTTATACCAGCTGTCTGGGTTTGCTGTCCGGCGACTGGGAGCGGTAGCGGTAGCCTGGGTGCTACTCGCAACTTTAACTGCCGGGCAGTTGCGATTATTAATCAAATAATGCCAAAAACTCGACTCCCTCTCGGCTTAAGCGAAACAAAAGTCGAGGCCAGGCGGCGTTGTTGCAAAACTTACACCAAACTTTTCCTGGCCCAGCAGTTTGTAAAGTTTTCTTTGCATTCGAGTGTAAAAATATTGAAGTCATCTGCACTCACAAAATATCCATTCGAAACGCAATAAAAACTAAGCTAAGCAATTGAGCATCGATAAATGCATTTAAAAAGTGCTCTTGCTAAGCTCAATTCAAATTGAAATATAATTAGTTGTAATTGTTTCATCGATTTGTCATCGAAAAATGTCGAGGGGCGGAGAATATTTTTCCTTTTGAAAATTTATCGAATAATTGATAACAGTGTTTCTTATTAATTTATAATAATAATTTATCGATCGGCTAATCGCTAACTGTCGATAAGTTATCGCCATCGGCATTGATTTTCGGCAATCATCGATGAACATTTTATTTTGAAATTTTCCATTAAGTGCAATAATCAATATTTTCTTTTGTGCAATCATCGATTATTCATCGATAACACATGTATATTTTTTTTATTGTTAATCGATAATTATTTCTTATTTTATTTTCAACAATCATATTTTTTTTAAAATTCGTGATAGTTAATATATATCGACGATTATCGATTAACGTTCCGATAGGCAAAGTAGAATTTTGAGTGTGCATATTTTGTGTGTGTTTGGGCCTGGAAAGGCCAATGATCCGCCCCATACCCCACCAGAAGCAGCAGCAGCAGCATCCGACCAGCCGACTCCAGGCCTCTCGAGTGTCAAACTGAAATGAAAACGAAAGCAAAAGCCAAACTGTGCATCAACGAGTCCTTGAACCCGAACCAAATAGGAGACATGACATTGGCCATGACCTGTTAAGGTCAACTTGTGCTGCTGCAACGCTTGTTGCATGCACCGAAAGATGGAGTCGAAGGCAGAAGGCATAAAAAAGGCAGACAAAAAGCATAGAAAAGAAAGGAAAAAGCTGAAAAGAGCAAACGAAAAGCACACAAAAACAAGCGTAGAATAAACCAGAAAAAGAAGCAAAGAAAAACCGCACAAAGCAACAAAGCAAAAGCCAATCAAGAGCAATATGCCCCAAAGCGTGGCATTTGGAATAAAAAGGGTTCAACGTTCAACGTTCAACCCACCAATTTTTGGAGGGTCCGAACCCAACAACAACAACAACAACAACAAAAAATAATACAAAAACTTGTTCAGTGGCCCGCCTCAAGCAGGCAGCATTATAATAATTTCAATGAACGAATCTTTTGCCAGCCTCCACGCCTAATTCTATAAGATACTTGCGTTGAAGAGGCAGGCGCCTGCTGCTGCAAGTGGAATCCGAGGTCTTGAGTCTTCTCATTTGTTTTTGCCGTTCTTTGGTGGCTTTTCGTGGCTTTCTGAGGGCCGATGTTGCTGTGCCGGCGCATTCGATTGATGCGTCGGATGCGTCGGATGCGGCGGATACGTTTTGAGCAGGGCCTCCAGATAGGCCTTGTCATTCTCGTACTTGACCTCGTTCTGGTGGTGTCGGCGCAGTCGAACGGCCAGCCACCAGCCGGCAATATTGACAGAAACTTGAATGGCTACCTAAAAATATATACAGATGTATATTGAGCGCTAAATTGTTTGATTTGATGAGTGATTGAAGCTGCTGCACATACCTGAACAATGTTGATAACCAAAAGCATAGAATCGCCAATGCCCTCATCTAAAGTTTCATAACTTGCCGGGCCACGCGACCATCTGCTACGCCGTTCCAATCGCACGGTATCCGAATAACCCTGATTACGCAACACATAGCGATAGTACAGCGTAAAAAGATCCAAAAGGGTCAGGAAACAGATGCCAGTGGAGTACTGTGTGGAGTGGAGCACAAGAGACAGTTCAAAGATATAGAAAAAGGATCGGATCATTCCATTTGGGGTTTTAAGTTTGTACTCACAGCGGCCACACCCCAAACGGAATCATAGAACAGCGATATGAAGCCAGCGAAGGCCCAAACGGCCAGAAAGATGCCCAGGCAGACGCGGATTACCAGATATCCAAGAAATTTTGTCTTACTGTAGTACAGAAGCAGTGTGCTATTATTGGCGGCCTTTAGCTCGCCATCAATCTACAGAGGTGAGGGACACTGATTAAATATACGTTTGCTCGGCCAGCGGAGTGAACGGATAGCCCACCTGCACGAGGAGCGTCAGGCAAACGACCAGCAGCTTGAGCTTGTGGGTGGAAATGCAGCAGCACATGATCCAAGCAGCACTCAGCAGACTCTCTGGACTCTCTGGACACTCTGGACTCTCTGGACTCACCGGACTGTACTCTCTGCGTGTACTCTGTAAATGAATTATGTTGCGAGTGTGCAGTGGATGCTATCCAATCATTTGGCTAAACTTTTTAGATCCGAAACGTAATCCGTTATCCGAAAACGTATACAAAAATTGTATATAATATATATAAATTTGGTCGACAATTGTTGTGACAATGTAGTCAAATGTAGTCAAATATAGTCAACGATTTCCCCAATTTACATATGCTCGTAGGTACGAGCTGTGGCGTTCCTTCTAGAGTCTTTGTTTCACTCCCTATTGGCCATCTTTCTTGCGCGTGTTCTGTCAGAGGAATCGCGTCGCTCAGGATCAAAAGGAGTAGCTTCCATTGCCGCTATGCTGCTGCCCCGCTGCCACATTTTATTCTGTATGCTGTGCTCTATAGGGCATTCAGTATTCCGCTGCAAGTCCTAGCTCCTACTTAATAGAGCCATCTAAAAAAGGACTATAGCTATTGCCCTTGCCTTGCCTTGCCTTGCCCGTCCCTTGCCCATTTGTGCCGTTTGCCTTTAAGAGGGAAATCAAAAGAAATTGTTTTAAATGTCCAAAAGCTCATTGAGTAGGAAGGTTGCCAACGGACTTGGTCTGGGTGCCATGGGTGCCATGGGCATTGGGCGTTGGGCGTGGGGGCCACTCCACTTGTTCTGGTGGTTTGGCACTCGGTTTGATTATCATATTACGTTTCCCACTCACTGCCCTTTGCGACCGTGCCCCTTCGTGCACCATAAAAAAAAGCCGTTTAGGGCTGTTTATTAAAAGCCAAAGAACATTTTGACCAGTCGCTGTATGCCCCCGCCTCCTTCCTGGGGGGCAGTATCCTTATTGAATTTTGTGTTGATTTGTTTGCATTTTGGAGGCCAGCAAAGTTCTGAGGCTCTCTGTGGTCGAAGGTTTGTTTTGGGTTGGGCAGGGGGGGCCCATCGGAAAAGTCTCGGGGGCAGCAAATCGCTTTGGGCGCTGGTGTGTGTGTGTGTGCAGGGATAAACTGTATCCTGTTTGTGGGGCCATGGCACGCAGACACCAAAATAAACACTTTTCACACCGACAGATGAGATTGGGCGGGGAAACAGTTTTTAATGCTGTGGAAACTTGTCGTCACTCCACCACCACACACTCCAGCATATAATATCAACTCGATTAAAACGCAAAAGCCCCCATCCTTTGTCACCTCGGGTGCTCCCACACCACACCTTCGGACCCTTGTAGCCTGCACAGTGTTTTTGGCAGGCAATAAAACATCTGCAGGATTTGCTTGAGGCTGCCGCACAATGGCGGCATATGGTGTCGCATCCAGGCTTCCAGGCTTCCACGCTTCCCGGGCGGGGCAGAGTCAAGTTGATTCTGGCGAAAGGATAGTCGGCTGCTCCTCAGGGAAATGCAACTAAAATTTCGTTTCAATGGAGATGTTAACGTAAAGATTCGCTAAAGCAGACGCAGGCTATTAATTTCTATGAGTTTAACTGAAATTCAAATGCTAGAAAATACTAGAATATTTATATAGAAAAATGTTCTAAAACCTGTTCTTACATGGCCATAAAATATCAGAAATATATTTGGGAAAAAAGATAAATGCTAGATAAGTTATTTGAAAATAACAAGACAACTATAAACTATATATAAAAATACTATTTAAAAAATAGCATAAATAAAAAAAGAATGAAAAATTAATTAGCTAAAAAATAACAAATTCCAAAAAAAACTGCAATAAATAAGAAATAATCCCAAAAGCAAGAAAATTATGAAAATTATATTAAATAAGAACGAACATTTCGTCTAAGTTTCTACAAAAAAGAAAGCATATTTAATTAAAAATGATATAATAATTGTATAATATATAATATATAATATATATATATATATATAATATAATATATAATAATAATATAATAATTAGCATATTTTGTTGTTAATTAAATTTTGTGTGTTCCTTTTTCTATATTTTGTAATTGTCTCTTTTAGCGGTTGTTCACTGTGTTTAATTGTCTCCTGCTTGGAGCTCCCTTTTGCCCTTCAATGTGCATGAAATGTTGTGTGTGTGTGTGTGTGTGTGTGTGCATCCATCGTGAAATAGAGGGCGAAGCGAACCCTTGCTCCTGCTTCTGCTGCTGCTGCTGCTGCCCATGTCCATTGTTGTCTGGCTGCTACCTAGTGCTCCTTGTGCCACTGCCACTGCCCCAGATCCCTGCACTATTCCATATTGTTCCAAGTGGGTATGGGGGTGGGGGAGTGGGGCACTGTCTGGGGTAAGCCTTGCGTCATGTGCCAGCCCCGAGTCCCTTCCCCCTCACGCTCTTTTCCTGCTTCTGGCCCTTTGTCCAATGTAAACAATTTAATTTGCTTAGTTGGCGTAATATTCGCCCATCAATAAAGGGACAGCACGAGTGTGTGTGTGTGTGTGCGAGTGTGTGTGTGTGTGTGTGTGCGAGTGGGTGTGTGTGTGGGTGGCAAACAATGACTATCGATAGCAGGCAAGATGAAGCCAAAAGAATATGAAGAAGCCAAGAGGCTCGTCTTGTCCTTGCAATTGAGTGTCCAGCACTTAAAGGCGATCTCGAAGGCAAGTGAATGGGCCATAGAAGTTCATGGTGGTACATATATACATATATATAGTATATAGCATATATACATACATATGCATGTAACAACATTAAATCGTTATGGGCCAACCTGTCTCCATTGTGTGTGTGCGCTGTGTCTCGGTCTCTAAGTCCTTGCCACACAATATTTATCCCTCTGCCTCTGCCTCTGCCTCTCCCTCTCAGTCGTTGCCTACCTCAACTTGTTGACCCCAATAACCGTGTAATTGTTAATCCTGTGCACTGATTTTCCCCTGATTTTCCCTTGATTTTCCGCCACACCACAGACTCCACGGATTCCGCTACTCTGCGAGATAATCAAATTAGCTTACAGCCATTGACCAATTGATTGACCAATTGATGAATCGATGTGATGTGTTTGCCTTGCACTCTGCTTCCATTGGTTTCTGTTCTGTTCTGTTCTGCTCTGTTCCATCCTTTGCCCGCGTCGTCGTCGTAATTGCAGTCGGTCAACAGTGCGTATGATTAACGTGTCGCAGGAGGACGACGCTGAAATGAGGACGATAATTAAAAGAAGCTTGCGTTGGAGTGGTGGGAAATGGAAAGGAAATTATGCACAAGAAATGAGTAAATTAAAAGGGGGCTATGCGATCCACAATATCTTTCTGGATATATTCTGGATTTATTTACAAAATCCATAGAGGTTTTTGGCATAAATAACTGCCATGGCATAGCTTGTGTTCTGTTGCTTTGTGACCTTGCTTTTATGCGAAAACTTGTGTGTTATTTGCGGTATTGAAACCCCGATTTCTCTGGCTGTAAAGAGTGAATGCTGGTGCTCAAATAATGTGCCCAAAAGTGTGTGGCAAAAGTCAGTTTTTGCTGCTAGAATTTGCATGAATAATAATTGAATTATTCAACATTCAGACATGCCCATGCAACGATTTTCGCCCCCAAAAATAATTGCAATATAAATGGCAAGGGGCATTCATTTGATATGTGTGCATTCGTTTTAATTAGAGCTCGCCGTGCACTGTGATGTGCAACGTTTATTTAATCCGTTTAGGATGTTATTACGAGCATGAAAGGATTTGCAGCAGCTATAAATAGAATTCCCAATGTGCACATTTAAAGCCAGCCAATTGACAGATGGAACAAGCAGATATTAAAGCGATTGTGAGGCAGCGAATTGAAGCATTTAAATCATGCTAAATATCTATACGAATACGAGCATCGCTTTGTCAAAACTCTCTGAAATGTGCTTGCACTCAGCCATGGATTGTCTATGCTTACGCTTCCATTGGACAATGGAAAACTGTAACATAATATTCATAGATTTGTTCACTTAAACGAAGTACAAAGCACACGCTTTGCACACGCATGTTGCACAGTGGCATTGAAATGTGGCACTTTCTTAATGTTAACTCAGCCTCCAAATCAAAATCAAAAGCAAAATTTCATTTGAATTTTCCGCCGCATTTTCTGAGAGCACTTCCACATTGATGGCTGCCACTGGCACATTTGCTGAGTGTCATTGGCATTTTGGTTATTAATTTGTGCCCCCCCCCCAAAACTCAGGCACCGTCTCCGTCTTCGATTTGGCGGCCGTAGGTGGGGGGCAGACATCAAAGACAGGACCCGCATCTATGCGGCACCACAAAAAAAAAAAAAGGGATGCACAGTGATGGCTGGCACGAAGGACCCTCAGGCGCCAACTAGGATATGAGATCCATGAATGGGAATCAAGTGGGGTGCGTCGGGGCGGGGTTGGAGGGCAGACGACTGTCATTCTGTCAGAGCTTCAAACTGATTTATGCATTCTACTCGTACGGCCACACACAGACTCTCCTCCACCCCGCCACCAGGAGTTGCTTCACTCTCTCTTTGTCCCTCTCTCTCTGTGTTACTCTTCGGAGGCTGCCATCTGGAGGTATTCCATATGTGGCCTCCTCCTCCTCCATCCTTGCTCTTGGATCAAACTCAAACAGTAATTCAACAGACTCTTTTAAGCAATTTTCATTTAATTTTCATTAGCAAAAGCCGCAAATTAGAAGAAACTTTTCCACAGAATTTCTACCCCCCTGCCACCACTCCCTTGGAGAGTTGTTGCCTTCGTGAAAATGTGAGCAATTTTCATGAATATTAAAATATTCAAATTGTGGAAGACACGAGAAGAGAGAAGAGAGAAGACAGAAGAGAGAGAAGAAAAACGTTGGGCAGCGGCAGCCAAAAAAATAATGTTTCTGCGGTTGGCTGTTTTCCGGGATGGAAATTTGAATTTTATAGACATCCTCGACTCGCGTGGGGAGCGGTGGGGGGGGGGGGTGGGGGATTGTGGCTTCTGTCAGACGGGGTTGGAGTTTTGGTTTTTGGCTTTAGAATGCTGGCGACCAATGGGGTTCTATGGGGGCAATCATTAACATTATCAGCGGAGTATTTGCTTTTGGCCAACATTTCAATTAGTGATCGAAATATTGTTGCTTTTTTTTTTTGGCGAGGGTGTAGAAGAGAAAAAGGCCAATTGAGTGACTGCTTCCAGTCGTAGGGGGGGTGGGACAAAGGCATGGGTAGGGTACGGGCATGGCCTAGGGTAGGCCCTGTGTGGCTGCCCCTCATTTTT